CTAAACATTTTTGCATATATAAACTATACTGCCTAGGAATAGTGATGTGCATACTTAACTATTACCTAATACATCTTAAAAATGATACACTCTTAAATATCATCATTAATTAACGTATCTATGCATTACACAGCAAACACTATTAAAATTTAGAAAACTACAAAAGAGACACCCTTAAAAATTTTAAAAATTGAAAAACCCCTAAAATTTCGCAATTTACAAATACAAAAAACTATTAAATATTATATTAAAATCAAGGATTTATAAAAAAATCATTGAAAATTTTTAAACTTTAGAGGGGTAATTTGCAATGCACTAAACTTTAATGATGTTTTTTGTAAATTTTAAATTTAATAGATTTTTAATTAGTTATGTTCTTTTTCTAAAAAAGTTATGGATAATATTGACCATAAAAAGTTTTTCCTAAACCTATACTTTTAAAGAGAGTATGATATTTTTTATAATTTTTTAATTTTATAGGGGTTGTTAGTAGTTTTGTATATTTATTTTAGTGTTTATAGGTTAGAACTTCTTATGGTGTTTCTTTATAAATTATGAATTTTAGGGTTTTTTAATAATATTTTATTTATACATATTTTCTACAGATTATAAATTGTTTATAGACTATTTATAATTTTTATGTTTTTAATTTACTAATGAGTTTGAAATTCTCATGCTGTTTTTTATAAAATTTGAATTGTTAGAGTTTGTTTGTAATTTTTAAAACTTTAAGGATTGTTTACTATAAATTATAAATTATATAGGGGATATTTATAATTTTTATATTTTTAATGTACTATTAAATTAGAAATTACCTGGATTTTTAAAAATTTTACAATTTTGATGGTTTTACTTTACAAGTTGTAAAAAAATTAGAGTCTTTATTGTAAATTCATAATTTTGGGAGTTTTTTGTGTTATTTATAGGTTTTTAGTGTGTTTATAAGTTTGAAGATTTTGAACTATTTTCTATAAATTTTGAATTTTAGGGGTGTTTTTTTTTGTAATTTTAAAAATTATAAGATCTTTTCTCCAAAGTCAAAAACTTTCAGTTTCTAGCTGGCATATATTTTTTAGATTTATCATTAAATTTTACTTATTTTAAAAATTATAATTTTTAAGATGTTTCAATAAAATTTTGAATTTATAAGGGTGTTTTTGCAATTTAAAGAATTTGGAGGGTATTTTTTATAAAGTCCAAAAACTTTTCGGTGCTGACTAGCACATGTCTTTTAGATTTATCTACGAACTAAAATAAATAAATAATTTGAATTATATTAAACGTATCTATTTTATCCAATAACATGCTAAGTCTTAGTATGAATAAGATAAATTATTTAATTACCAATTTAAAGAATATATGATAATTATAATAGATTATGATAACAATGTAACATTTAAAAAAATTTAAGGGTAATATTGACCATAGAAAGATTTTTCCGAATTCGTACTTTTTAACAGGAGTATGATTTATTAAAATAGTATGTGGAATTTAAGTGTGAGTTTCTGTGATATCATTTTAAAATTTCTTTCACGACGCCCATAAAACTCAGATATTGTGATGAGTACTATGGATTTTAGATAACCCAAGCATGTTAGCAAAACTAAGCGTGTTAGAATATTTAATTAAATAATCAATAAATTAAGTTTCTCCACACAAAACGTTTTCTTAAAGCAAACAGTGCATTTTCATATAAATTCTAGAGAAGCTAACTTTTATGGTTGCATGAATTGCATGAACAATGATGCATACTTTTTCCACCACCCAACAGGCAACAGCCAACTGCCAGACCAACAGAGAGTTTGAGTAAATCTCTCTCTTTCTTGTTCCTAACTGTTGTCAACATGTAAATTGACATCATAGACTGTGGTGGTTGGTACTATTTTGTGGACCCCATTCACCTAATTCCTTACCTATGAATATACTCTAATATTATAAGTAAATACACGCTAATTAATTATGATATATTATGACAACAATATTCTACACAACAATTCAAAACAAAAAAGGAAATATGTTCCTATATTACGATTTATAAACAACTAAGTGATTGGAGGGTCTAATTTTATATAGATTTGAGGGTCTTCTATATTTGAGGGTCTTCTACATTGAGGAGATTGGGATAGTTTATGTGCACAAAGCTGTGAAGAGACTTGATAGGGGATATTAGATATTAATTTGTTAATGATGTGACTAACACAATCTTAGGATAAATCAAGTGTTGTGAGAAATAAGTTTGTTTGATGCTTTACACTTGCATCTACTCCTCTATGCTTATAGGAGGATCCTAAGATTCACTATTCATACACATTAAATACTTCTTTTAGCATGGTGAATATGTTAATTTCTATTTATAATGATTAAATTTCATTTAGCTAATCTTAATAGTGCCTAATTCTGATCATATCCCTAACCCTTACATTTAAACTTGATTTAGGTAACTTTTTGCTTTTTTTTAATGAAGATTTGGTTGCTAATATTTTTAATGGGGTTTGTATGTTCGTGGGTTAGAGATTGGAGATTACGTCAGAGATGATGGATGGATGAATCGAATCGGAGGGTCAACTCGGTTCATCACATTATGAAACGATAATTTTATTTCACTTTTAAATTTTAAATTTTAAATAAACATTTTCACACATTTATGCACTAAAAAGATTAACCTTTATTGTGCTATTTCGGTTTCAATTTTGAGTAGTTATTTGATCTTTAGAAATTTGGTTAATGATGGCTAGGGATGGTATAACCATGAAGATAAAAACTAAAGTTTCTAAATTTTGTCAATGACAGTTAATGATCATTTTTAGAAATTTTGGAGGGTTTTTATTGATGAGAAAATGTAGATTTCTTCTGCCACAGTTGGCGAGAGAATGAACTATTAATATGTGCTCAGATCTGAATATTTCCTCTAAAGTAATAAACTATTGATATGTGCTCAGATCTAAAGATTTCGTATTTATTTCTCTTTAACATTAAGGATCGGAGAGAATGAACTATTAATTTGTTCATTTTCTATTTATTTCTCTTTAACATTAAGAATCAGAGAGAATGAACTATTAATTTGTTCATTTTCTATTTATTTCTCTTTAACATTAAGAACAAATCTTTGAAAAGACACGTTAATAAAGAGATTATTATACTTAGTTAACGATTTATGGTAGTGAATTTTAATATTTGATAATATTTTTTTGGACAGGTCAGTTTCATATTTTATAAATTTTCTCCTAGAATCAGTGATAAGGAACTTCTATGGTTTTCAAGTGATGGAGAAGGTCGTTAAGAAGATCTCGGAGTAGGAAATTTCCACTCCTAAATAATCTAAGACCCCATTTAAGCCTGCAATTGTTCTATTTCATGTTTTGATCTTATTTCTCTTCTTTTTACTAGCTTTGTTTTTTTTTCCCCCTAATGATACATATATGATATTATAATGTTTGTCTTTGAGACACGATATAGTTAAGAGGATAGTTTGCATTATTTTGTATGATATTATAATGTTTGTCTTTGAGACACGATATAGTTAAGAGGATAGTTTGCATTATTTTGTATGATGAACTAAAATATGCATCAAGAGATAACTCCTTCGTAAAAATTCATGATTGGTTATCACTCAAGCGACTGACTCATGAATATATGTTATATTGAATGTAGAGTTTTGTTGCTATATTGTTTTATTAGGCCATTATGTGTGAGTTGTTGGAGTAGTATTGTTATATTTGCACCATACAATATTATTAGGCATCTATTTTCCAAATGCAACTCATTTGAAGTTCTTCATAGTTGCTAGCTATAGGAATAAGTTTGTATAAAAATAAAATTGAGATCAAACAACATTAACGAATTATAGAAAAGAGGCGAGGGCCGTGCTTGGCACGGGGTACACACTAGTTTTATATAGATTTGAGGGTCTTCTATATTAGAGAAGATTTTGGGATCTATGATAAAAACCCGAAAATATAATTAATCTACTTATTTTGTTCAGTATTAAGTGTTATTAAACATCTCTTTTTCCAAATTAATAATTAACTTTGTGGAGTACGCTGACGATTTATTTACCCATTTTCTGTTATCTTTTATCATTGTTAACTTGAGTGAATGTGTTGGAAAGCAAAAACGGTGACATCAAGAATTTGACTTAATTGCAAAGTTGATTCAATTAGTTAAACTTAGTTTTCTCAACAAATTTGCGTTGTAGTTTCCTTACACCGCATGTATAAATCCCAACCGTAAAATTTCTGTGATCTCTCAAATAATAACGCGCCACGTGTAAAGCTTCATATCAAAGGGAGAACGAGAAGGTCCCCCCAATTCGCCATCAGCTTATTTACCGAAACTACCCCTAACAATTACGAGGACGCTTCGTCACAAAATCCCGCCGTAATTCCCGATTCTATATATCCTTATCGGTCCTATCGCTCCCTTTGAGAATCTCTGGCAATCCCGTAAATATCAAAACATATCGGGGTATTTTATTTAGTTGTTACCGCAGAAGCCGACAAAAAATCCGCGCTGCCCCGCACATTGCTAACAGCATTCACGACCCGACCACAAAAATGACCATGAGATCCCTCGACGGGCCCCACTGGGTTTAAGTGTGGGTGCCGATTCTGTTCAGGACAATCAACTGCACTGAGACCAAGACTCTAGACTGGAGATCTTAACTACGCGGGTCCAACGCGAGATCCACGTCCACTAGAACGCGGAGGAGATCCACGTGGGCTGGTCGGATTCGTGAGTCCAAAGTAGCTTTTTATCTGCACCGTTCTCGTGCTTTCCATGTGATCTCACTCTTCGCACAGTCTCTTTAGCTCCCGCCGATAAAAGGCCATTTCACATTGATCCCCATTCCTTTCCCTCTCTTTCTTCTTCTTCCTCCTCTCTCTCCCCTCTCTCTTCAATTCGAAACCCTAACCCTAGAAATGAAACCCTAGGCTGCGCTGTGAGATGTGATCGTGGCCGCTGCTGGTGGTTCGTCCACTGTGAGAG